AGAAGGAGAAAGAGAGAGAATTTTCACGCGAGACGGTCCGCTGCGTTTCGAAGAGAGAGCATGTTCGATGAACATGTCGTTCGCGGAACACGCCGATACGTCGATGATGGGTCTCGCGAAACACCTGCGAATCATTAGCCGAGCCTTTGTCTAAGTCACGCTTGTTAAATACGCTGGATTACTTCCGGAACGTCGATGGCGGAATCTCCTGTGCCTCCTCACTTTCGTCCACCATCTGATCCCCGGTGTTTCCAGATGCACTCTGCTAATGTTCACGATTACATGTAGTAACGACAGTTTGCCGCCGCTTGTCGCTCTCTGGGAAGTCGTTTGTGAAAAATAATCAAAAAACAAAAGGAAAGAAGAAACGAAAATGATTCTGCCTCCGTAACACGGCGTTGTCATGCGAGACACGAATGAGCTCTCGAGAGCCAGCCGATTCGTGTTCGGTGCTTGTTAGATTGTGCGACTTTAATGTCAAAGTGACAGAACGCGACAGCTGTTAACGCGCGAGAGCCGCCTTGCTCCGGCTAAATTTTTTTCCCCCCTCCCAAAGCAGGAAATTAATTTCGATATCGATGAGCGCACCAGCTGTTCCGGGTGCGCGACGGCAGATAGGATAATTCGCACGGTCGGATGAGCGCAAACGTGAATCGATATTCGCGGCGTTGCGTCATCGACGAGGAATTTTCCCGACCCCCCCCCCCCCCCCCCCCNGAAACTTCTTGGCATGAAGATAATTGTGCGCCGTGCGTCTTCATTATTATTATGCAAAAAATCGAGAAAAGATAATTTCAGGTCCTGCTGAGAAAGAAGTTTCTTAAGTTTTTTTTTTTTTTGATGCTATTCTGACGCTCTTAAGGGTAGTTTTCGTCTACAGAAGGTTTATAGACTAATAAAAATCTACTTTAACGATACTGGCACTTTTTAACTCCTCCCTTCAACTTTTAATTCTACAGGTGGAATTTTAACGCCACCTTCAACAGTCTATTTTGACGCTAAAAGAACGGAAACGGGAATTTAAGGCATCATCGGGATCCAAAAGTAGGGATTACATTATATTATTAGAATTGAAATTGAACTTTTTTTTGCTATCCCAACTTCTACTGTGTTGAAATAATGTTGAAATAAGAATTAAAGGTTTAAGGATCGAGATTTCGACTCGGTCGCGAGGATAAGTTTGAAGGGTAGTTTGACTGATCTCGCCCGCGAATAATCCACGGAAATCGGAAGAAGTGAGGAACGCATCAAAGCGCGATCTGCGTTCGTCCGGCGGCGAATCTACCAAGTTTGATCGAAATCGCGACCGTGAGAATTTGCGAACGTCACGAAGGTGAGAAAGAGAGAGAGAGAGAGAGAGAGAACGAGAGGTGCGTCGTTCGCGAACAACGAGCCGAGATAGCCCGCGTGCGAGGGCTAATGCATTTCTAATGTTCCCCCACGCTCGTGAGGGCATAAAAGTTCCAGCACCTCGTCGACTCTTCCGAGTCCAGTTTTATACCTGCTACTCGCGCGGGACGCGCGGATGCTCATTCAGGAACGTTAACATTTTACGGGGGGGGGGGGGGAATTAAAAATTNGTTCGTTCGCGCGGAATTAACTCACTTTCGTCCCTCGGAAATGCGCAATGCGCTTAGCCGATGTAATGTTAATGGCCTCGGCCATAAACGGTAGACTTCTCTGCACGAGATTGTGCGCATTGCTGCATATATTGCACGTTTCGACGACATTGAGAGATAAATGCCGTCGGGTGCGCGCCGCTGGGTAACTCGATTCCCTCGCTCGACTTCCAAACAGCTGGAAATGTCAAAAGCTGCTTTCCGTTTAAATATATGCGCAGTAATATCATTCGACCAACGAGAGAGAGAGAGAGAGAGAGAGAATGGGGGAGCATCACGCATCCAGGGGCTTCCTCTCTCTCTTTTTCTCTGTTGCCTTCGCAATGAATACATTCACAGTGTACAGAGAGAACAATCTTAAAAAATGTACACAAGAGAATACTCTCTCGCTTAGTAACATCTCAAATAAATATTTCCCACGGGATGATTACGTAACGGAACCGTTTATCGCGTTTCTTATGTAAGAACAAGAATTTTATACAAAGGCTCCTCAGATATTTCATCACCAAGCAGTCAACATTATTATCCTTCCGCGAAAAACTAATTGATCGAAACCATTATCCCGGATGGCTCTTATTCGCTGTTTGCTTTTTAACGTATCTTATCCTTATTTTTATCCTCATCTGCATCGACGATTATTCTTAAAGCGTCGTTATTCTCGTGTAAGCGTCCGGTATTCTCAAGACGAAGCTACAAGATATTGCGCGGGGATATTAAATTTGCTCGCTAGGAATCGACCGCGCGTTCTTTTTGCCATGACGGAGGCATGACGTGTGATCGGTATGCGACTTTTTTCCCCTTTCTTTCCTCTCTTTTTCCTTTTTTTTCTTTTTTGGCACATCCCGCGTATCGGGCCGTTGACCTACTCAGAATTGGTCGCCGGCCAACGACAATTCGGTGCGTATATAGAAAAAGCGGCCTCGCAAATTTCCCGATCGATCTCTCGTCGTAAGAGGACACCGGAAGTTCATTACCTCGGCGTTCGCTCCCCTCTCCCTGACCTCCTTGCGGACAATGGCCTCTCCGACACACACACACACACACACAATCCTGGCCGGCCGCCAGTTTTTGACGTGCGTTTTTACCTTTTGGTATTAGGCCAAATTCTCGCAAGCCGTCCATTTACGGTTGCTTTCACCTCGACGCCGTCTCGCGATACTCTCTACGGCTGAATATCGGCGGCGTCTCGTCGGACGGAAGCGGAAGAAGAATCCCGGGTGGAAAGTTCTTAACGGAATTGGGAGCAGGTCGTGCGCCTCTCCGGAGAATTGTGGCGGATTTCAGGACGGCTCTCGATATCGCATTTATGGAAATGCGATGTTGCCGTTACGATCGCGGGATTGCAATGCAGAGAAAACGCGTGTTAACGTAAACCAACCAAATTTCAACTCGAGCGATCAAGTGTATTCTTGGTAACCGCGGAAACGTTTTCATCCGGACGCTTCATTCCTTCAACCAGCCGCGATAATATTTACCAATTTACATTACGCAAATTAATCGCCGCTTATTCGACCGACTCCGCGTCTCATCCGGCTTCTGCGAAGCGTTGAAACCGCGGATATTAAATAAATGAAGGTGGAGGAAGGAGCTTTTCCTCACGAGGAAAATGAGATTATGTTTCTGAGCGGCGCCGAGCTAAAAAGCTACAGCGAATGCCTCTCGAGTACCTCTCCTCCTCCTCCTCGTTGCGCGTCATTGTGATTCTTTAAGCGGGAGACGCTTATATTCTTTAGGAAAATCCACAGCGGGAGCAACAGAAAAAGAAAAGAGAGAGAGAGAAGAGGGTTCGAGAAACGGGCGATCGATACGGAACGCGCGGGACAATAAAGCACGCGACGCGTTTCTCACGTCCGGTTTCTGTTTCCCTCTCGGGTTTCAAGAATTGATTTTGTCTCGCGGCTCGCCGTCTCGATTGCGCGCGGGCCGAAAGTATCATCGAGGGTGCGTTCTCGACGCGTCTTCCGAGGGGAAGAAGACGTGCGGCGATAACCGCCGAATAAACAAGCCACGTTGAGCGCAACAGTTTCGTTTTCGAATTAGGAGGAAGCGAAATGTTTATGGATATTAGTCGCCTCTAAACGACGACTCATTATTCTCGATTAATTTAAATACACACGTGCTTGAATATTTATTACCCACGCGCGCGCACACAAATGTGTGTGTATGCCTCCATCGATATGCATTCGCATGACGATGTATGCCGTGTTTAACGAGTGGAGATAATGAGGATTAAACGGTCGTAGGAGCCAACTAGATCGAGTGATCTGCATATCTCGGGTTATTATAATAAGCGGGCGTCCCCCGTCGGAATTCCCGGGCGCGTTAATAACGCACCGGCGTGTGTGTGTGTGTGTGTCGGCGGAACGTGCATGTACCATCCATTCTCGCGTACTTCTTCATCTTTATCTGGATATTACGTTACCATATACTGATAACGGAATGATATATACGAGCGAACGATACGGCACTTGCTGTCGTGTCAACGCGTACGACCTCCTCTCCTTCCTTCACGCCGTTTCCCGTCTCGTTATTCACGCGGCGAACGATCGCCACGATCGCTCTTCTCTCCGCTCTGACTGTTGTAATAATTCGTCGGCGTGATGTGATAAATCGCGCATTATTACACGCCTGTTGACGGAATCGCTTTGCCTTTGAAGAAAAAAAGAGAGGAGGAAGTAAGGAAAAAAAAAACGCTCATTGACACAGTAACACCATTGGCGGCACCCCTGAAGGGTGGAGAACGTCGGTGGTAATTCCACCGTGCTTCCACTTTGTACCCTCTCGTATGAGACCAGGGTACGAGAACACCTCTTTACACACCGACGACTTCTCTCTTTCCCTCTCTCTCATTCTCTCTTTCCCTCTCTCTCTCTCTCCACTCTATCTCTCTCTCTCTCGGTTCGCCGAAGTCGACATCGACCATTGAGCTGTTCACCCTCGTTTTTATTCGAATCGGAGAGAGCTCAACCCTCGGGCGGGCGCCGGCCACCCCTCGTGTGCGCGGCGAACAAAAAAAAATAATATCTCGCTCGACTGAGCCAACGGTTTTCTCCGTCGCGCCCGCGTGGCGCAAAGACCCGTGTCTCTGATATTTTCATCCTTTTCTACTCAGGCTCCATTGAACGCCAAAACGATCGGGTGATCGACGCCCCCCCCCCCCCCCCCC